CTAATGACATTCTGAACATCTGTGATCAGGGCTCCCTCTTCCTCCTTGTCCTCTTCGACCTCTCTGCCGCCTTCAATACCATTGACCACTCCATCCTCATACATCACCTCTTCTCTTTACTTAACCTTCGTGGACCTGCCCTTGCTTGGTTCGATTCCTATCTCTCTCACCGTCTCCACTTTGTTGCCTCTAAAGGTTTCTCCTCCAGCCCCCGCACTGTCACGTCTGGCATCCCCCAGGGCTCTGTCCTTGGCCCTCTCCTCTCCTCTCCTCTCCATGCTCTACATGCTCCTCCTTGGTGATATCATCCACAGACATGGGGTCAACTATATGTATATATATATATATATATGTGGATGACACCCAACTCTATCTTTCTGCCTCCACCCTCAACTTCAGGACCACAGACTGCCTGTTGGACACCAAGTCTTGGATCAGGGCAAATTTCCTACAGTTGAATGTGAACAAGACTGAGGCCCTCCTGATTGGCTCGTGCCAATGCTTCAGCATCTCAGGCTCTGGCAGCATCAACCGCCATAGTTGCACACATCAACTCACCAAGCCAGTCAAACCTAGGTGTCTTCTTTGACACTCAACTGTCTTTCCTTCCCCACATCCAAGCCATGACCCACTCTGCCTTCCCTCACCTCCGTAACATCGACTCCGCCACTATCTCACCCTTCAGGCCGCTGAAACTCTTGTTCATCCTTCATCACCTCCAGGCTCAACTATGCAAACGCCCTGCTTGCGGCCTTCCCAACTCCTCCCTACACAGGCTGCAGATAATCCAGAACTCTGCAGCCTGTGTCCTTTCTAGCACCAAACTCCGTGATCCCATCGCCCCATTCTTGCCCGACTCCATTGGCTCCATATCCTTCAAAGGATCCAGTTCAAGATCCTGGTCCACACCTACAAAGCCCTCCATGGCCTCGTCCCACCCTACCTCTATGACCTCCTAACCTCTTACCAACCTACCCGCTCCCTCCGCTCAGCTGGCTCCGGCCTGCTCCACGTCCTCCGACTCCCCACCCCTCCCCCGACCCACCCAACTCACCATTGGCGGGAGAGCCTTCAGCCACTCTGCCCCCAACCTCTGGAATTCCATCCCCCAGTCACTCCACCTCGCCCCCTCCTTAGCCTCCTTCAAGTCCCGCCTCAAGACCCTCCTCTTCGACCATGCCATCAGTCAACCCCCTTCCCCTCCCCTCCCTTCTCCGTCCCCGACCCCAGCTCGGTTCTGAAATGCTGTACTCTGTCCAGCACCTTGGGACGTCCTCCCGACGTGAAAGGCGCTATACAAATGTAATCTTGTTGTTGTTTTAGGAAACTTTTGGAGGTAGGGAGAGAGGCATCAAGATTTGAAGGTACAGAAAGAGACAGCAAGGCGAAAACATTTCCACTAGGTTTTGGCCTTTTTGGACAGCCTTCCTATTGGCTCACAGTGCAACTACTCTACACCTTGTAGCACGATAAAGTTTGTATGTTGCAGGATTTGCTTTGCTGGCACTTTTGCAATCTTGTTGTTCACATTTTCACTGTGCTGAGCCCAGCTTCACAGTGGCTTGGTGGTAGATAAAATGCTTCTTGTAAAGAAAGCATCAAAGATTAATGCCTATTGTTCCTAGTGTTGTATCACTTCTTTATCAAGATAATGTGGATGTGGTTTGTGCAAACCAGCTACTTACCAGAAAATATGCAGGAGGAGGGCTCTGGTACCTGTTATCAATCAACACGGCAGGCACTACTGCAGTGGCCACACGTACCTGTGTAGTAAAGCCACAAGTGAAAATGCTTGGTATTTACTTGAAGTTGTTTTGCTTTTAAGAATGTTCCAAATGTTGTGGCACTGTGACTACCTGAAAGGTCAGTGAGCTCTTTTAATGGTGAGATTTCACAATGAACTGGGTTAAACACTCAGCATCCTTATTATTTCTTGTTCCAAAGAACCAATCCACAGACCTGTTTGTGTGTTATGCGGTAGTTTATGCAGTCACATCTCAAGCCAATTCCTTCGCATAAGATATATTATAATAATGATAATAATCCTTGCAATTGATATAGTGCTTTTCACATCTTCTGGATGTCTCAAAGCATTTCACAGAATACACTGTAAAATGAATTGACTGTATATTTGTGGGCGAAACGCAGCAGCCAATACTGCAATAAAGCTGCACAAAGCATGCATTTCTGCAAGCACACAGGACAAACAGATGCTTTCTGGATGGCCCTTGCTGCTGTTTCCAGTGAGATTATTTGAGAATGATATGAGTTTATCTATGCTTCTCTACTTAATAACAAAAAATATATTTTTCACTAACAAATCAAATCTATGGACAAATCCAGTAAATTTCACCCCATAGTATTTTGTATAATTTTTTTAAGGACCATTAAAGTTTTTTTTAAATTCCAGCTGAATTGAATTTTTTTTCAGCGTTCACAATTATGTGCACTCCCTGCTGTCTGTTTATAATGCTGGTCCCACCAACATCCTGAAAAGCCACTTCCTGTTCTTCAGATGAGACGTTAACCAAGGTCTCATCTGCCTCGTCAGGTAGACTTTAATAATCCCATGACACCACTCGAAAAGTGAAAGAGGTTTCTCCCAGCGTCTTGGCCAACAGTCTCAGGTAAAATTGGTCACGCACTTCATGGCTTTTTGTGGGACATTGCTGTGTGCAAATTGGCTGCTGAGGTTCACCCATGAAACACGTAATCACTACATTTTACAGTATTTCCTTTGAGGCACATTCAGATGTCTTGATGACGTGATCAATGGTGTGATAAAGTGCTATATCAGAGGGAAGGATTATTATGATGTGCCATCTGATTGGAAGTTAATCATTCATATTAGAAACAAACTAAGCAGAGCTCAATCACTCTTTTTTCACTTCCCTTTCCCACCCCCCTGTCGTCGTCATCAATAACTAAAGGAATTTGTGTCACCTACTGTTATGCAGAAGTGTTACCAATCACCTGTGTGTAAAATATAGATCACCACAAAACTCAAGGGGATTGAGCCAGAATGTAGCTCAAAATCTGTACTATGGAAAAATGGATTTCTCTCACAAAGTGCTGAGAAATGTACCTTTTCTTTACTACAATAATGAAGTTTATCTTAGAATTTTCATTCTGCTTAAAGGCTGTAAACTTCATCAATGCTTCTAAATCTGAATAAATTCTGTTTTAAACAATTCCGTTGAATCAGGATATTTTTGGACTTGTCACTGAGAGTAAAATTAACAATGAACATTTTAAAATTATTCTCACTGGGATGCAAGCCGACAAGGGTTGGCTGGCTATCACTTGCAGACTGAGGGGAATTCAAAGGATTCTCCTGGGATGTTTTATGGACGGTTTCATATATTATCTGTGGGTCTCATCCCAGTTGAACCAGAAGTCGGGAAGGAGCACTGATCAGCGATGTGTCAAATACACAGGCTGCCTGCGCCTCATTACAACAATATAAAACCAGGGAACAATGACATCTTAAATCTAAGCTGCATGTAGTGTTTTTTCAAAAAAACTTAAATCCTTTTGACCCTGGATTACCGTGGAGGTGAAACAGTTAAAAGGCTCCTGACAAAAATACACTGTAGCATCTCTGTTATATCTATCCAAATGAATTATGGCAGTTGCAGCTAACTTGGGTTTTCTATCCTATGATTTCAGACCTACTGACCTTTTAATCCTTGAATGGTCCATCGTACTAATGTGAAAGCTCTTACAGTATTGTGGGACTTGGCCCTAGATGGTGTGTGGTGATTCTGGCTTTGCCTGCAGGTTGTGGAGCCATAACTAGTTCAGATCAAATAAGGAATGAACTTAATAAGGCTCACTGTTGGCTGAAGTGGCATTTTCTACACAGGAATCAAAGCTGTAAAAGAAAAAAATGAATCTTCCTTAATTTGTCTGAAGAATACTGTGAACAAAGCTGTTTTATGCACCTTCACAGAGTCCCAATACCACCAGCTCCTTAATTTAGAAGCTTCTAAATTAAGACTGAAACTAAGATTTCCTCCGAGCCGCTCTTCAGATCACATCTGAAGACCTTCCACTTTGACCATGCTCAGCCATTGTTAAACGCTCCACAATGCTATCCCACGTGAAGGGTAAATGCAAGTTGTTGTTGTTGGATCTAAGAATTTTTCACAATTCCTAGACTATGTGTATTCTTTTATTTACATCAAAATGATCTTGCAGGCTAAGGCTAGGTGGAATTGCAGGCCCCTGGTGTCCTGTGAGTTGCAGTCTAGTTTGCGACTTTGTTCAGGCAGAGCCAGAACTATCCTCATGTTAGGGGACGCAGATTCTCACAGGAGTGGGTGGGGGGGGGAAGGTGACAGAGCATCTATTATATCTATGAAATTAGGGTGGGCACCTCAGGAGAACAAAACCTAGCCCATCAAGCCCATTTTATTAGATCGTGGGAGATTTTCTAATCATATTTGTCTGTCTGTCCACCATAATCATCATATTTGATATAGCACTTATCACATTTGCAAGACATCTCACAAGATTTACTGTAAAGTGTAGTGACGTGTATTTCATAGGTGAACATGGTGGCCAATTTATGCACAGCAACGTCCCACAAACAACCATAAAGTGAACTTTTATTTGAACATTCCTATTGATTCTCCCTCCCCACCCGCCCAGCCTTCTGGAGTAATGAATTTCACATTCTAATAACCAGAGGTGCTCTCTGGTCTCCCTTCTTACACGTGTCCTATGTATATCTCAGAATAATGCTTGCGTTTGAACTAGCGCCTTATGTCGTTGAGACGTCTCAAATCGCTTCGCAGGAGATAATGTAAAGTGGATTCACTGAATATTTTGTGGGTGATGAACATGAGAAGGTGGTTTTCCACTTTTTGTTTAAAGATAGGAAATCGGAGTGAATTAAACCATTGCTTTCCGTTTCACCCACAGCACATACAGCCCGTGCGCTTTGCAGTGTCTTCTGCGCAGCGCTTTGAGGCGTCTCGAAGACGCGATCAGGCGCCATATCCAACGCAAGGATTACTGTCACATTATTATTGTTGCTTCCGTGATGAGATAAACGTGTTGATGAATAAAAAAAAACGAATGAGCAGCTGATGGCTTGGAGTGGGGTGTCTGAACCGAAGAGAGACTTCAAACCGTGCAAAGCGATAGGCTTGGCTGCTTTTACCTGCAAAAGAAAAAAAAAATACGTGTAAACACCGCAGTCAGCAGATGAGAGAGAGAGAGAGAGAGAGACAGAGACAGACACAGAGAGAGAAAAAGCTGGAGTGAGCTCGAGTCCTGGTGTTGAGTGGCTGCTCCACTTGCCAGTCAGTGCAGTGCAGTGCAGTGCAGGGGGTGGAGAAGAAGCAGATTTACTGATCTGATGTCACTGGGTCACATGGATTTTCATATGGGCCATGTTATCAGGCGGAGTCGGGACTCCACTTGAGCACAGCTGCTGAAGGGGAGAAAGCGAACTTTGGCACCACAGCTGTGCTGCGCTGCGTTGCGTTGTGTGGGACAGACGAGGATCCAAATGATGTATTTTTTGTGCTCAGCTATGAAAGGTAAGGAGTGGGGGGGGGGGAGTGGGGGGGTCGGGCAGCGCTGTCACACACTGTCAGGCTCTGGGTATGATCGCCTGGTGAACTGACTGACCGACTGACTGACTAAACCAAGCAACTGACTGACTAACTAACTAACGTTAAAATAGTCTTTCATTCCCGACGTCGTCTCTATTCCCAATCTGCAGGAGCAGCTCTCTCCCCCCCACCACACACTCCCCTCCTCTCCCCTCCCCACCACACACTCCCCTCCTCTCCCCCCCACCACACACTCCCCTCCTCTCCCCCCACCACACACTCCCCTCCTCTCCCCTCCCCACCACACACTCCCTCCTCTCCCCCCACCACACACTCCCCTCCTCTCCCCTCCCACCACACACTCCCCTCCTCTCCCCTCCCACCACACACTCCCCTCCTCTCCCCTCCCACCACACACTCCCCTCCTCTCCCCCCCACCACACACTCCCCTCCTCTCCCCCCCACCACACACTCCCCTCCTCTCCCCCCCACCACACACTCCCCTCCTCTCCCCTCCCCATCGCATCCCCAGCACTCTGCGTAATGGCAGAGACAAACAGGAGGGAGGGAGGGAGGGAGGAGGGGGTTTATTTCAGAGGAAAGGAATGTCAGCAATGTGTAAGCTTCGGGGCTGCTGTGCTTCTTGCAGCGCGACACTGTAATCAGCTTAAAGCAGGAGCTGCTGCAGCAGCGACAGACACACACAGACAGACACACACAGACACACACACAGACAGACACACACAGACAGACACACACACACACAGACAGACACACACACAGACACACACACAGACACACACACAGACAGTCACACAGACACACACACACAGACAGACACACAGACAGACAGACACACAGACAGACACACACACAGTCAGACTCTGCCTCACAGAAACCCCATTGCGCTTTAACGCTTTCGCTGCGCAGCGCTCAGGGTTTTGCGCCGTTGACGGGGAGTGGGTACACGAAGCCACTCTCTCGATCGCGACCCTTCGTCCTCTCTTCGTCGCTCGATGGAGTTTGGTTGGAGTTGTGATCCACTGGACGATTTGTTTCTGCTGCTGTTTAACACGATTATGGCATAAGATCGAGACGTGTATCCAACCAACCCCTCCCCCCCCCTCCCCTCCTCCTCATTTCCCAGTCAAGCACATCAAAGCACATCGGATTGGTCCTGTTAATCCCTCAGAGGAATGGTATTTGCTGTCATTTCTTAATTGAAATAGCAAAACAGAGAGAGAGAGAGGGGGTGGGGGGTGGAAACAGAAATTGAATGAACCCAAAGCATATCATTTCATTTCCTTATTGACTGTCTGTGTTGCATATTCTTCCCAGAGATATTATTAGTTGCATAATTCAGGCGGTGATGCCTATGGCGAAGACCATGATTTGTTTGTGATTTTTAAAAAAAAATGTTTTACATAGGTTTTCCTGTTTCAGAGCTACAAAGTGTTTCGTAATGATTGTTATTGTTGTTGTTGTTGTTGTCATGTGAATGTGCTGGGTTTTCAAACAGATTGAATGTGATTGTGAATGTGTTGAACCTCAATGTTGTGTGCATTCTGTTTGTTTACTTTAAATGTGCAATCACTTACCTGCTTCAGTTACAGTGTATGTATATACTGATGAGTATTTGGATTCAGATATTCTGGTACTCAGATAAACAAAGAGCAAATAGATACAATCTGTCCAAGGCATAAATAAAATAATAAATATAAATTTGCCACAGCGTCTTTCATGTTGGTAGGATGTCTCAAACAGCTTCACAGAATTTAATGTCAAGTGTAGTGACTGCATTTCCAATTACAATATGCGTTTTATGTAGCGTCTTTCACGTAGAGAGAATGTCTCAGAGCCCTTCACGCCACTGCCTGGTCACCTGAGTCGGGGGAAGGGACAATGACTAAAAGCACGGCACGGTTTCCTTATTTGCTGGAAAGTTGAGGATCTCGTATCAGTTTCTCCGGTCAGGACGAAAACCGAATGTGAGAAGCGCATGGCTTCAGTGAATGATTTGGAGCTCAAGCCCCTCCCTCTCCTCTCTCCCTCTCTCTCTCCCCCCCAATGTGGGATGCAGGTCCACTGACTGCTACAGTAAAAGGACATTTTAAAAAAATGGCCTGTTTAAGCTTTCAAGTTATTGGCGTTGGCCCATCATGAAATGCTGAAGCGTGCAAACTGACTTGGGCACCTGTCACTCGCATGCAGTCCTGATAATAAACTGGGATTGCTCCACCACATGTGTGCCATGCATGTTGCTGAGTCAAGCGATTATTTTTAAATAGAATTCAGACAGATTTAAAGTCTAATTGAGCCTCATCCCACCGCTGTCGGAAACGGGAGAATCAGAGTGGTGTTGTCATGTCATGGGAAGCCATCTGGTTCTCTGGCAAGTAGTGAGTTTGCCCCAGACTATCCACCAGGATTGAATCGAACAGTAAGAGCAGAGAAGCTCACATTCAGGTAGCAATTTATAATATTATTAATAAACTTTGCATTTGATATATATAGCACCTTATAATGCTGTTGAGACAGCTCAAAGCGCTTCACAGAAATTACTGTAAATTATCATGGCTGTATATAAACAGCCATAAAGAGAATGACTGATTTTGTCTGGGGGTGCTTGTTAGCTTCAGTGAAGAGCAGGTTGTTGGAAAGTGCCACCTGCTCCTGCTTTCCTACAAGAGTGTAATACAAGGTGGCATCGGCTCTACTCTGACAGCTGGTGTTGCATCTACCTCTGTCCATTCTCTTTATGATACTATCACAGATAAAATCATTCTGTGACGCAGGAGTTTGGACCAACAAACTTTTTTTCTGGCAATGACAAGTGGAGAGAGCCAGCAATAGATCACAAGAGAGATTTGGATGAAGAAGACCCTTCCTGAACACCCACTCAACCGGCCTTGCATTACACTGCATTAAGCTGTTTCTTAATGAATCCAGGGGCCTGGTCTCAACCACCCTTAATGGAACCTGTTCTAGTTATTTGCCCTTCGGGTAAAGAAATGCTTCCTGTGTTAGTCCGAAGGTGGCAACCCTAAATCTGCATTCTTTTGTTCTTCTGCTTTGATTTATCTAACAGTGGAAATGTGAGTAGTTATCGTAAACGTATAGATGGGTTAACTCTTTATGCCTTCAGGACCATAGCATTTTGTTGTACTATTAGTTATTATAATACTTGTGTTTAATATATCACCTTATATCATCGAGCTGTCTCAAGCGCTTCACTAGATTTACTCTAAAGTGTAGTGACTGTCTGTTTGCAGCCAAACGTCTGTTTCTGTTTACTTCTGACTGGTGACTGTCTATTTGCAGTTGTTAGTGTAACGTGCAGTGAATAACATTTTGAATTGTGATGAATGAAATTACTGGGGGTCAAAAGAAAGACACAGTGGAAGAAAACAGGAGACAGAGCTTAACAGTATAATGCAAACTGCAGCCAGCGCTTTGGGTCAACAGAGAACTTTAATCAGAGTTTTAATCTTTGGCCTAAACAGCATGTTTTACTGTGAGTTGAAGGCAGTGCAGCTTCTGTACATAGACAGTGGAAATTCTAGGAGAATGCAGCCTTTGTACATAGTGCAGCAAGGTGGGGGAAGGAGTAAGAATGAACACATTTGAGTTACTTTTGTTCTTCTATCTATTCCCATGAAAAATGTTGTTCACATTTTGTGCAGTAAGATTCAGTGCTACATGTTTGGGGCAGACTCTGATTTGAATTCCACTATTAAACTATTGAATTAAAGCTGCATACTTTTTTGGATTACAGAAATTACCCAACCTAATTCAAAATAAGTTTAACAAACTTCTACAATTGTGATTTAAAGATATTTTTTAGAAACTTCCATTCCTGTAAATTCCTGGTAACTTCGAGTTACAGACTTCAAAACACTTGAGCCGAGAGTTTTCCCAATATTAGAACAGCTGTTGTAATGCTCTGTGACAATCTGATACCATAGAGAAACTTTCAATAGAAATTTAGCGTATTTATACACCATAAAGATTTATTCAGCAGATTTGGTAGTACACTGAATGTCGTGAGAGGCAGGAGGTGTTATTCTCGAGTATAAATGGTGTGGAGAGATTATTATAGTAGAGGTAGACGTTACCAATAATTATTTTACAATCCAGGTCATAATTGCAAATAAAGTGCTATCTGACTGGAATGAACCTTTGCCCTTTTGAATGAAGAACAACTCTCTGCAGTTATAATTTTACATACAATTTCTTGGTGCATGAGATTTGCTCGTGAATCAATAATGATTTCTGTGATAATGCAGAGCATGAGAGTTCAGTGCTACATGCACACAATGAATACAAGTTTGGTTCTGCTGATCTGAGCCATGCCAAGCAGGGAGGCAGCTAGCAGAGAGGCTGCGGATAACATCAGACTGGGGAGCCTTGCCTGGGCACTCCTCAGCACGTGGCCAATTATGTCAGCCCACCTTCCAAACATCATAGCCATCAAGGTCAGACGGTACAAAGTGGGAGAATCAACCCAAAGAAGAAAAAAGGCCCGAAATTCAACATGGTCATTTGCCTACAAAAATACACAGTTGCTACACTTCACAGTAAAGCCTGTGAAGTTTTAAAATGTCCTCCTTATGTGGAAAGGCCCATATCAAATGCAAGGATCGTTGTTACTATAAAATTATTTCGCTTTAAAAATTTTAGATTGTGCAAAAAATGGAAAGTTCTTGAATGCAGGGTTAATTTGGAAGCTGGTCTTTTTAAACAACTGTGGAAAACTGTCTTTCAAGTTGAGACTGAATTGACAAATTTCCACAATTCAGCACAATCATAACTTTTAAAACAAAATGGTCCACAGGCAAAGGTTTGGCAGAATTTCAAATCAAAAGTGTGGAAAAAAAGTATGACAATGAACGGTGTTCCTTCCACTCGCTTTATCAGATGGTACAAGATAGATTTGACTTTCCAAGCATCATTTTCCTGCCTGCAGAAATCAAATGAGCCACAGG